ACAGTACTATATGGGAAAACAAATTAGCTGGTACATCAGCATGCCACAGTGCAACCTGGTTCAAAGTACTAGCTTGAGTCCTGGGAGCAGCCTAGCCACATCAGTTCAATTAGTCGTGCACTGAACACCACAAAAATGTGTCTATTCTGCTGCTGCTGCTGCAGAGCTAGCTCATTTTTAGCTAGTATGGGGACCTCTCTATGGCCTTGTGGTGTAGCCATACCTGCTTTTTCTGACAGTGTATACTAATAGTAGTATGGTAATATGCTCTGTGGTTGGGAAGACGAATCTACTCCTGCGATGAGCTTTTTTTAAACTTCAACCTGTTTTGTTTTTTATTTCTTTTCAAATGTTCCTTTTAGAGACAAAGGTTTTCTTCTCTTTCTTTTGTAGCTCCTCATTATTCTGTAGTTTGTAACCTCGGCTAAAACTAATTTTCTAAACAATAATTGTGTAGGTAACTGGTTTGATTACAATCTTAACCAGCACCTTTAAAAAATATTTAAAGCACAACCTCAGTCGGTTTCTTTACAGTCTGTCTTAATATATATATACTAACGTTTACCTCTCAAATTCTGCATTAATTTTATAAGTATTTGATGAAAGTCTTCCTGCATCGATATTCTTACTGTGTTCACTTGTGAGCATCTCTGTGATTAACCACCAGAGTACGCTGTGAAGTGACTGTCTGAACACAGGATCCCCTTCCTGTGGCTGTGTTCTGAGCCTAGACCAGGGGCAAGAGCTGCTTTCTTGACCCAGAATACTTCGTTCAGTCATGTAGTACTTTCAGGAAGCAGTAACTTCATTGCTTTTGCAAGATCCCCTGGTATTGCATGTTTGTTTTGTTTTTTGTTTTTTGTTTTTTTTCCAAAGGATGAAATATTAGAAAAATACTTACACTGGATTGAATAAACTCTAAAAAAAATAATAATAATCATGTGGTTAAATTCCATCCTGCCAGTCAGCATGCAATCTCCTGGTGTCTTCCAGATTCCTCAAGCAGTATTACACGTGTCCCTATCTCTTGTCATCCTCCCTCCATGGTATGTTCTCATTTGTTCTCAGCTACTGTTCAGGACTCAGTGTGTGATTATAATAAAGACAAGTTTTTATTCCTCAGATCTAGTAAAATTGCTCCCGTCTCTCAAAAGCACACATAGGTGTCTAGGAAGCACTTAAAAATTGCTGTTCAGATTTGCATCTGGGTTTCATTAGCCATTACAGTAAAGGACAGGCAAGGTTTCCAGGCATTCAGGTGGAGGTGTTTATGCTGCTGTTTGATGTGTAGCAAACTTGCATCTGAAGGGAAAAGAGTAGGCAAGAGTCCTTGACAACTCTGACCATTTTGAAATGTTCTGGTTGGTTGGTGAACCTGCTGCGGGTTCTTGAACAGATCTTGGAATATAGATGAATGTCTGCATGATAACTTAATGCAACCACTCAAAATACAGATTTCTGGGAAGTACTGTGCATTCAGATGCCTTGGTTATGGTTTAAAAGACTCACAGATCTTGTGCATCTGCACTAAAATATGGTTCATGAGTATTTCGTGCCATTGTAGCAGTCCCCAGATGTTAATTGTCTGTATGAAAGCAGCATGTCTGCCTCATAGCAGTTTGGTTTGGGAAGTTTGCAGATGATAGTGGAAAAAAAAGCTGCTACACAGCATGTTTCATCTGCAGCTGTGGTGTAAGCTCAGTAGGGATCCCCACAAAAAACATCCTGAGCTAATTTAAGCATCTGCAGTTACTGCTCATCAGCTGGCACTGGCAATGAGGTCCTCCCCCACATCAGCGCTTGAGTCTCAGGCCCGGAATAGCAGTCCAGAGGGTGAAGTTGTTCCCCGAAAAGCCCTTCTGAAATGGTATCTTTGTCTGGCTGCCACTTTTGATTTGCTTATCTGCTATGTCTCTTCACCTGTGAGTGGTGAACCATCAGGGAACATTAAATCTTTTAAAACTTGTAGCTACCACCACAGCTTTCATATTCTTACTAGTACAGTGGTGGCTTCTGAAGCTGCAATTACCTGAGCAGTTGTGTCATAAACCTCCCCCTCTGTGACAGATGGACACATCTATTCCTTAACATTCCGTACGTTGAAAGTGGTACTGGCAGCCAGGAAAGTAGTAGCTTGTGGAAGATCTGTGGGCTTTGTAGTGAGTGCAGTGGTGGAATGTGGAGACTTAGATTGGCTGTGAGATTATGAGGGCAGTTTTGGGGAGGACTTGTCCATTGCACCAGCCGGAATCAAAGATCTGTAATGAAGGCTAATGCTTTGCTCTTCCTCATAGCATGGGCATGTTCTGCTGGTTATTACAGTATTTCTCTCTTGGAAGCTCAGTATCTGTGTTGCAGCACAAATGCTATTACTGCCTGTTGTTTGAAAGAATTGCCATGTAAGGAGTATTTTGGGGTTGTAAATTTATTCCAAGGTCTTTGAAGATAGTATTTGATGTATTTTAACTCTTTGGGGTCAAAATGAGAGTTTATCCTTTCTTTCTGCTTTCTTTATGTGGTATAGAGGCACTGTGTTTTTCTCTTCCATGTGCACATTTACATTGGTGCTACCAGCAGCCACTGGTACCCCCGGTAGGTTGGTAGTACATGTTTCCAACCTGCACATGGTTTCAGATCCACTGGACTGGAATTTTGCTTTCTAAATTTTACCTTTACATTGTAAGTAAGGAATTTAGCTATGTCAGAATGCCTGATTGTGCAGTATCTGGGATTGTTAGTAATTTTTGGTCTTACTGGTTGAGACATTCCACAGCAGTGGAGGGGTTGCTGGTGATGTCACAGCAGTCCTTGTTAGGGATCTATATGCTTTTGAGGGGTAAAACAAAATACTACATTGTACAGTGAAACACTTGGAAAAAACCTTTCCAGAGATGTGTTATTTATCTGGAAGAGTTTATCTTTCTCAAGTTTACTGGGCAAGAATAAACTTAACAACCATGATGATATTTTGAGACGCTTGAGAGTAGAAGTTTCCGTTACTCATGTGATGCTCCCTGTGGGTGACGGTCACATTAATGGGTTAGTTACTTCTGTGGTTTTTTGCTTGATGATGTGCTTAAAAATAAGTACTTTTCTCCTATATCAAGGTTTAAAGTGTCTAAGCTGAAAGCTAAAAGGAGACTCATCATAAAAACGTGTGTTCACACTTTTGGAGAAAACAGACAAGGTTCTGTTGGTTGGTTATTTTTGAATGCATTCCAATTAGGAATGAACTTGACAGGATAAAGTATTTCAAGTGTATATTACCTGTAATGTAAAAATGAGCTAATGATATGAAAATTACAGTAAAATGTAAATATAAGTATTAAAGGTGTCTAGAAATACATAGTCACGGTGGGAAATCTAGTGATTTGCTTGTCACCTTTTTTGTGGTAATGTGATCCTTATGTGAAAAGTATTATAGGATTAATGAGTTCTTGTAAAAATGTATTTAAACTCATGAAATAATGTAAATGTATTTGATAGTAAAATAGGAAGTTTTATGAAACTTTGGTTCAGAAATGGCTATTGTTGTGACGACTACTATTCTGATATAGAGTGTACTTTCAAATATCTGTTGTATCCTGGTTATAAAATTGACCTTTTCACATTAAGAAAACTCAATTTAACTAAGTTAAGCTAACTAAGAGAGCATTGCCTGAGGTTTCAAGTGAATATGTGTGTGCATTATGTGCGCAGTAACTTCCACGTGGCTCCAGCTTCTTTTTTCCCCCAGTGTTCTGTGGTACTCTTATGGCTTCAAGCCTTTTTGAAGCATCCAACCAAATCAGAGGAATTAATAATTTTAAAAAATGGATGTCTAAAGACTATAGACCTTATTTTTGGAGAGGGGAAAAAAAAAAAACAACAAAAAAACAACAAAACAAAACACCCAAACCACAAAACAAAGAAAGAATTGAAAGGTGGGTAGTTTTCTTGCATTAAAAAAAAAAAAATCAGCCAGGCTCTCTGTCCTCCTGATGTGTATCACACAAAAACATCTAATCATAAAAGTAGAGGTTACCGTTAGCAGAGTAACATCAACTTGTGTCAATACAAATCACTGCCTAATTTCTATAAAAGGATAGTTCTTCAAGGCATTAATTGCTTAAATGGAGTAAGGAAAGTGAGTCTGTAAATAATGAATTCAGAGGTATGGTTGTGGACTGAAAGAAGAGTTTTAAGCACAAGTTTATGTTACAATACATGTAGGAAGAGACGTTTTCTTCACATGGTGAACATCAGGAAACTTCAGACTTAAAGGTGGTGTGAGCTGAGAACAGCTAACGGTGCCTATCAGAGCTGTTCTTGACATGGTCAGCTAGTACTTGGATGAGGATCATGCTTAAATTATGTAGTAAGAATCTTTATTTTCGACGGCAATGGGATTGTGCCATGATTAAAACCTTGGTTTTGGTGCCTGTTACCATCTTCCTTTTCTAGCAGTTCACTCCTAGTGTACAGCAGATGTTGATTCATGCTAGTCAGTTTATCTTGATAGGTACTATTTCCTGTGTTATGCTTTTTTAATGCAGTTTTGTTCTTCCTGCACTCCTGTTTTTTACTTCCCTTTAGTGCTTTAAAAGTATTCTTATTGCTCCTTTTGTTATCTAGAACAATGACAACAGAGCTACAGATTTCATAATACCTTGCAAAAAAAAGTTGTCTGAAAATCAGTAGATTCTATGCTATAACTGGGATGTTTGGGAAGGAAGTAAATGTGATTCAGGTTGTATGTGTGAAAAGGAGAAAAGTCATAGAAGAAATATATTTCAGAGTTTCTCTGTTGGCTTGAATTATTGGGCACTTTAGGATGAGTTGCTGGGTATACTCCTGCTGGATATTCCACTTGGCACTTTTTAGTAAATGTGCATTGCATATTTCTCTGTTCTCTGCTTGTTTTCTTCTGAGTGTCCTTTCTGAAAGTCATGCCCCTGGGGGAAAGAAGTTCTGATTTCACAAATGTCCTGATTTTATTAATTTCTTTATTAATAATTATAATGATTGGATGGAAGGAAGGTGAATGTCATGTAAATTAACTTAGATACATTTTCTTGAATGGTGGATCCAAGTGCGGTGAAGAGAAAGTCGGTTTATTCAGGGCATGTATTCAGGTGGTTTCTGCTTCATAGCCTCTAGAAAAAAAGCTACCCTAAATCCCTAATGCAAAGGAAACAAAGATATTTGTTTTAACTAGATGTGCATGTGTATTTTGCTAGTGAAAAAGAGTGTTTGTTTTATTTCTTGAAACATGATTGAGCCTTAAGAGGGCTGCATAGGAGGACATGACCTCTATAGGTGCAGACAGCATAGGTTTAATTATAGCTAAACAATTAATTTCATGAGAGAATGTTGAAAACAAAATGTCTGGTTACTATTTAACTGTCATTAATATCTCCAAAGACTTCCTTTGGTTGGTGTGTTTTCTCTATCTGTTTGCAAGGTGTTGAGAACTTGGGAAATTCTTGAGGCAATCAAGGTGGTGCAGTGGTATTATGTTTTGCAATCACCCGTTTAAATACATAACTTTAAAAATGTGAGGGACTTTTCTCTAAAATGGCTTTTTGTTTGTTTGGTTTTTGTCTTTAAGATAAAGCACCTTTGTCAAAGAGTCTGCTACTAGTCCCAAGTGCCATCTCGATTCTATTGACTCTGCTCTTCCAACATTATCAGAAGTTCTTTGCCTATAACCTACAAGCTATAAAAGACGATTTTCAGGTAAGAGTGAATTTGTTTTGTATGGAGAGAGACTGCAAACTATATTCTTCCATGTGATCTTTTTCCCCAGTCTGTTTCTCCTCTGATTCTTTCCCTTTATTCACTGTTGTTTTTTTTTTTTTTTTTTTTTTTTTTTTTTTAATGTTACTCCAGTACACCACTTTTTGGAAAAAGTGAGAAAAAGTGATCTGAAACAATCAACATAGCTTTTCACTTCTTTCTTTTGTCTGGGAAATTATTGGTTTTGTATCATTTTTCCTTCCAGCCACTGGCATTTGGAAGCTTGCTGGTTTAACCTGTGTAACAAAAGAACTATTATAATATGAATGTCAGTATCTTACTGTGCTTAGGTTTTAAGGTTGAAGAATGCTGTTGTGATGGGGTACGCTGATTATATATGATTTATTTTAACAACAGAGGGCATAACTTCCCCTCTGTAACTTCTGTTGTAGTTGATCATGGAAAACTAAAATTTGCCTGTTGAATAGAACTGCTGCTTCTAGTTGGAAGATTCCAAGTGATGGGGGAGTTTGTCATGCTCCTCAGTAATCTGCTGGATTGGTTAATTATTTTACTAGGCAATTCTTGCTTATTCCCTGTTCAAACTGAGATAGTTTATCGTTCAGGTATTGTGAGGTTTTGTTCTTAGCTTAATTAAGAATCCTCTAGTATCAGTTGTAATTGTCGAAATAATACACTTAGACGTGATTAGGTAAGTTTTGTGTGGATTTGATCTTTTTCATTTTTTGAAATGACAAACTACTGCTCAACAGAGAAGGGTCTGCAGATGCCTCTAATTATCTTAGCCCACGTGTTTTACAGTTAGATCAAAAAAAAAAGTATGGTCAACTTAATGTCTTTGGGGATGCCAACTGTAGCATATAAACCTTAAAAGATTATTAGAGCTAGCTAGTGATACTCTGTGCTGTTGCAGTCTCTGTGATCTTTCTTGTCAACAAGAGCTTTATTGTAATGATGCAGACTTCAACTCTGCAAGAGCACTGCTCATATTTTCCAAGTGTCTTGCTAATGGTGTGCAGCAAAAATACATAAATTAATGTCTGCCTTTTAAAAGTGTTACAACCAAGTGTTTGGGGAAGGGGATGAGAAAGTCTGAGAAACTATTCAAGTTTTAAATGGAAATTTTGTGGGTTTGGGGTTTGTTTGTTTGGTTGGTTTGCAATTTGTCTTTAGAAGAATCCTCTCATTTAATTTGTTTGATCTGCTGAAAAACAGTAGTAGCTGTGTCTTATTCAAAGAAACCATCTTGGAAGGGCAGGAAGGAGGATCCAGGTAACATCAGGCCACTCAGCCTTACCTTGGTCTCTAGGAAGGTCATGGAGAAATGGCTGCTAAAAAGATTTGCTCAACACATGCAGGACACAAAGAAGACAGGGAGCACCCAGCCAAGGTGAAGCGGACAGATCCTGTGGGTCACAATAGGTTGCACATCTGGTGTTGGCAACATTCAGTTTTTGTGCACATAGGACCTTCTCTGAGGATAGAGGACTGCCTGGAAGAGATGGGATCCACCTGGCCAAGTGGGACAAAAGCATCTCTGCTAACAGCCATGCCAGCCTGGTAAGGAGAACTTTAAGACAGGAACACCACAGGAGGGAAATGACAACACACAGTCAAGTGAGAAGGCAGTGGGCTGCGTTAGCCAGCAAAGGGTACAGGGTGGTGTGAACAGAAGGGATCCTGTAACCAACAAAACAGGACTGAAAAGGACCCGCTTCAAGTGTATGCACATAAATAAGGGAGTACCTATGGGACAGCATTATGTGGAACACTCCCATATGTTTTCTGGGAAATCAGCATGACTGGGTGCCTCTCTGAAGTGTCTGTACACTCATGCGCCCTACATAGGGAACAAATAAGAGGAATTAAAGGTCATATGCCATTACAGGGCTACAATCTCATTGAGGTCACAGAGATGTGGTGGGTTAGCTCACATGGTAGGAGTGCTGCAAGGCAGATACTAGCTCTTTAGAAAGGACAGGAAAGGAGAATTGCTCTTTATTTGAAAGAGCAGCAGAACTGCACAGAGCTTTGTCTTGGGACATGAGGAAGTTGAGAGCTTATGGGTCAGGATTTGAGGGCAGACCAGCACAGCTGCCTTTGGTGATGGAGTTTGTTCCACCTGGTCATGATGAAGTAGATGAGGCCTTCTTCAGACACCTGGAATAAGCCTCATGATTTCATGGCTCTCATGGAGGACTTTAACTATCCTGATATGTGCTGGGAGGGCAACACAGCAGGGCACAGGCAGTTCAGGAGGTTACTGGAGTGCATTGATAGCACTTCCTAACGCAGATGGTCAAGGAGCTGATGAGGGAAGATGTTGTGTCTGGACCCCATACTTACAAAAAAGGAAGAAAAATAAAGGCCTGCTGCTGTGTGGGAACAGGGACCTGGAGACAGAAGACACAGAAAAGGTCAAGGCCATGTCTCGGTTCTTTAGTCATAAGACTTGTTTTCAGCAGTCTCAGGCTGCTGAGATCAGTGCAAAAGTCTGGAGCAATGAAGGCTTAAACTCAGTGAAGGAAGATCAGGCTAGGGAATGTTTAAATTAACGACATACACAAGTTCATGGGACCTGATGGTGTACATCCACAAGTTTTGGAAGACTTGGCTTATGTCACTATGAGGCCACCATGGATTATCTCTGAAAGGTCATTGTGATCAAGGAAGGTTCCCAAGAACTGGAAGAAAGAAGATGTCATTTCTATCTTCAGAAAAGGCGAGAGAGATTGGGGAACTACAGGCCAGTCAACATCATCTGGATCTCTGAGAAGGTGATGAAACAAGTCCTCCTAGAAATCTCTTATGGACACACAAAGAGCAATAAAGTGACTGGGAGGAGTCAGCACAGATTTATGAAATGGAAGGCTTGACTAACCTGATAGCCTTCTATGATAAGGTAGATGACTGTGAGGGGAGAGAAGTGATGTTGTTTATTTTGACTTCAGTATAGTTTTTTGCAGTCTCCCATAACATCCTCAAACAAACTCATGAAGTACAGATGAGATAAGTAGGCAGTGAAGTAGATTGAAAGCCAGCTTAACTGACAGGGTCACAGGGTTGTGATCAGTGGCACAAAGTCCAGCTGGAGGCCATTGATTAGTGATATATGTCAGGGATGAATATGGCAATGTTTAATGTCTTCGTTCATAACCTGGACAGTAGGACAGAGTGTGCTCTCAACAAGCCAGTGAATGGTGTAAAACTTGGATGAGTAGCTGATACACCAGTTAGTTCTGCTGCCGTTCAGAGGGGAGAAGGGGGTCAGCAGGAATCTCACAAAGTTCAGCAAAGGCAAATGGAAATGCAGTGCCTCCCTGGAGGGGCACATGCACCTGTACAAGCTGGGGGCTGACCAGCTGGAATCAGCTTTACAGAAGAGGCCCTGGGGGCCCTACTGGAGACTAAGTTGAACACGAGCCAGCAATGCAGCATTGTGGCTAAAAAGGCAACAGCATCCTGGGCTGCATTAGGAAGAGCCTCACAGGGAGGCCTGGTGGGGCAATCCTTCCTCTCTATTCAGCCTGTGTGAGACCATATCTGGAATGCTGTCCCTTTGGCTGGGCTCCTGAGCACAAGATAGACCTTGATATACTGCAGAGGGTCCAGGCGAGGGCCACCAATACGGTCAGGGGCTGGAGCATTTGGCGTATGAGGAGAGACTGAGAGCCCTGTATAGCAAGAGGTAAGTGGATGCAAGGTGGAACATGGGAAATTCTGCCTACATGTAAGGATTTGATTCAGTTTTTTAAACCATGGGGGTGGCCAAACACTGGTACAGGTTTGCCCAGAAAGGCTGTTGAATCTCCATCCTTGGAGCTGTTCAAGACTCGACTTGACAGGGCCTGGAGCAAGGTGATCTGATTAGACCTGCTTGTAGGAGTATACTGAACTAGTTGGTATCTGGAGGTCACTTCAAAAAAAAAAATTTTTTTTCTGTAATTCTACAACTTAGAAGGATTGTGATTTCCATTTTTATTTGTAAATGTGAACTAGGGACATAGAAATGTATTTGACTTTGTTTCAATTGTAGGTTTATTTTAACAGGTAGACCTCTTCCTTGAAAATATTTTATTTTTAAACAGACTTCTTGAGCTCTCCATACCATTCTACTGTATTTCCCTCCTCAAATGTACTACATTTCTGTTATCTGACTTCAGTATTATATTCAGTCTGAGGACAAATTCTGTAAAGAATTTTCTTGAAGGAAGAGAGACTTAACATGACGATCTTTAACCTTCTAGATTTGGAGACTTGTATGTGGGAGAACAATATGTCTTGATTTGAAAGACACATTTTGCAGCAGTCTGCTCATTTACAACTTTAGAATATTTGAAAGAAGATATGGCAGCAGAAAATTTTCAGTAAGTTCCAGTTATATTTTTTTTAACAGAAACTGTTTTCTACACTGTATAAAATCTTGCAATCTTGGATTAATATTGCAGTTTTATTGCTAACATTTTGTATAGAAATATGTGTTAAACGGTTTTAAAGATAATTTGGTTTCCATAAATCTAAATTGATAATATCTTGCAGTCAGTGGATTTTTCTAATTAAAGTTTGCAGCTGTATTAGCTGAAAGTTATCAGACCCATAGAATTTAATTTTGACCACACATCTAACTCTTCATTCTTCACTATCTAGAGGCGTAGATCTGGAATTACGTTGTGCTAAAGATTTCACTTGTCTTAATTCACTTGTCTTAATTGAACTAGTGTAGTGGTTTTCTTGTTTTTTCTTTTATTTAGAGATACATTAAAACCTTATTTTTAAACTGTCGAATTAATTCAAATTAAACTTTATCTTTACAGTCCTTTTTACTGGGTGCTTGGATGCTCTCAGCTTTGTTTGATCTTCTCCTTGTAGAAATCACTCAGTATATATTTGGCATCACCATCAACAGCTTGCCTTCTGGTTTGTAAGTAGCTCCTAATGGATTGGTTATTTTAGATATAGTTTCAAGGGATTATATTTTTCAGATTTTAATTTAAAAAAAACTTTATTCAAATTAAATTTAATCCTCTTTTGAACTACAGTGTAAAAGTTCTTGGCGCAACTATTATATTTTCAAATATTAATATCGTAGTTCTGATCTGTGGTTAATTAATTTATAATTTATCCATATAGTGATTACATTCTGTTAGTGCCATTTCCACTCTCAACATGATTGAAACACAGCTTGCACTGTACAGATTATTGCTGTATTTGGTTTTGTTCAAGTTGGTAAATCTGAAAACTGAAATCCAGCTGGTGCTGATTTCTTTCTTAAATCACAAAGCAGCACAACTGTAATTCTTATCTTTATGTTCACTTTAAAATGCATATGCAGTTACATGCATTTCATATTGGTGTTTTGTATGCTTGTGTTTCAAAAATTGAGTGCTAGAGAATGTTACTCTGTTTAGCACTTGCATATGAAGTTCTTAAAGATTAAAGGTATTTAGTGGTTCAGTTCTGCATAGCCTGTATTTGAGATTTCTGCACTTAGTAAGAAATGGTACAGTAGAACTGTAGAGCTTGCAGAGCTTTTGTGGTTAAGCTTCTGACAGGTGGGATCAGCCTCATACAGACTTAAGTTTCCATGTGTCGCACACTCTGAGTCAATAAGAAAAGCTTTTTGAGCAAGATTTTTACTATTAAATACCATATTAGGCTTTTTATATTTCTACTTGAAAGTAGCTAAAGACTGATTTAGTAAGGAAGAAAAAACATATGTTTGATGTTATGAAGATATATATTTTGTAATGTGTGAGTATTTGAAAGGAGTTGAAAGCTTCAGTGCTACTGCAGTTACTCATCATGTTTGCTACCTTGAAGTCTGTTGCTGGGACATAGACTGCTACTGTGTCTGGTCAAATTCTGTATTTTTGTCTGTGTGAAAATGTACTTTGTGCAAGAGTAGGGTGTGATAAATGTGCACATCATACCCACAGGGAACTAATGAACTGTTCGACTATTATATCTTTTGATGGTATTTTTATCAGTGACAGCAGAATGTTGTCAGTTACAAAGAAATCTACATCAAAGAAGTTTTTAGTTGAATGAAATATGTTCCCTGCATATGCTTTCTCTTTAAGTCATGCTAACATTGATCTGAGAGAATGAAGCTAATTTTAGAAGTTTGGGATATACAGTAGTTTCAGGAACATTTGGTTGTGAAAATATAAAAAATTCATATATGCATTGCATAATAATTCTTCAGTGTTGTCTGCTTTATTATACTAATAGTCACTTTTTTGTGTCTGACAACATTCACAATTTTTTGAGATGACAAGCATTGAAAAGCTTAACACTGGTACTAGGTTTTAGTCCATCTGAGATTTACATAAGCATATATAAAGAGGTGCAATTATTATGCTTCTCTCACATTTACAGTTCAACAAATGTATGTGTTGCTTCTATTATAGCTATAGAACATTCTTCAGCATAGTCAAAATGCTAGAATTCAGGGGGAAAAAAATCACTTATTTACATTATAAAAGTTCCCTGACTTTTTTTCTCTTTTTATATCATTTCACTGTTCATATTCGTGAGTGATCTTATACTTCCAGTTCGAAAACTTTTCCTGCGCACACTTCGAAGGTAATTGCGATAAAGAATTACACTGATGACTCTCGCCTGAAATTGTTTAGAAACAATATAGTACAGTATAACATCCAAGCACGTACTGAGATTCATGAGAAAGGTGGTAAAGGCTGCCCAGGGATTATAAGTTATATCTTCATTTTGCAGCATCAGGAAGGAGAAGCAAATGTGGAAGGGTACAAAGCAGACAAGTACTTGAGCAATCAGAGTAACTATAATTCTTATGGATCTCTCCTTGGCTTTAGGCTTCAGTTTGGAAGTCTTGCCATGGATAAAATTGTAAATAATGACTAGGTAACACCCCATCATGATAAACAAGGGAATCAAAAAGAAAAAAATCAAGCGAGAAAAGTTCAATGTATTTACTTCCTTTAAATGGATGATATCAAGCATTTTCATGCAGGTAGTGAAATTCAAGGCTTTGTCTGGATCAGACTGTAAAAACAGCAATGGGGATGTTGTTGCGAGGGTCATTACCCAGATTCCAGTGCAAGCCAGCACAGCTTTTTTTGTATTTTTTAGTTCTTTGACATGTTTGGGCTGAACAATAGCCATAAATCTGTCTACACTTATAAAAGTGAGCAACCACAGAGCAATGGCTGGATAAAATATAGTGAAAGCACTGATAACCCGACAGAATGTATCTCCAAAAGGCCATGTTTCTTTCCCATAGTAGATTATCCGAAAAGGCAAGGAAAATATAAAAATTATGTCAAGTAATGCCACATTCATCATATATACAGTTATAGTTGTTCGCTTCTTGGTAGTGCAGCTGAAAACCCATAGTGCAGTGGCATTCACCAACAATCCCACTGTGAATACAAAACTGTAGAAGACCAGTGATGCGATCCTGTATTCTTCAGGGTGGTGATTTCCAGACATTGTATTTTAATTGAATTTAGGAATAGTTGTTGCATGCCATAAATACCCTAAAAATAAATAAAATATGAAAAGTTATTCTCAGACAAATAAAAACTTTCTTTTAAAAACAAACAAGAAGACTGTTGTAGTAGAATGGGGTTTACTAATGAGATTATATTGTTCAGCTGTGAAAATGTGCTAGCCTTGTTGCTTTTTCTGACTAGAAATACATTATTGTGCTCTGAAGGAGGTACATGCACTATCAGACTTTTTCTTACAAGTTATTTATAAGCTAGTTTTAATTAAATATTTTTAATTACTTGAGATTTCTTACATAAGTAATCAGAAAGTCAAGATTGACCAGCAACTTTGAGTGTTATTCAGTAGCTGATAATTAGATTGAAACAGCTGTAATTGAGGTAAGAGAGATATTTTCTGAAGAAAATATTTCTTCAAATTGTCTCTGTTGAAAAAGTAATGACTAAAAATAGTTACGAAAATAATTAAATGAGTATACCATGTAGTGACATTTGGATATGGAAAGTGAAGTATTGAGTTTGCATTTTATCTGTCTAGGAACTACTTAGCTCCCAAAAGAATAGCTGCATGCTGTTGTCATAAAAGACACTAAAAAGCTGTATTGCTACGTAACTTCTAATACAGTATTTAATCCCACGGCATCAGAACCAATCACCTGATATATGAATGAGGTGAATAGATTAATAGATTTCCTATTTAAAAAGCAAAAAGATGGGAAACAGCCCAGTCTCCAACCAGGCACTATGTGAACAGTGTTTGTTGGAGGGGGAAAGTTGCTGGCTGGTAGCCACCTGCTCCAGAGCACAGTTGTGTTGCTTCTCTCAGCTTCTTGGTCATATGAGTTGGTCATCTGAAATGTCATTATGCAGACTTGGGTGATGAGAGCTGAAAGACGTCCCCTGATTTACTTTGGAGCCACTTGAGGATGTCAGACCTTACCTGGTGTTTGCATGGGTGTTTCAGTTATCCCACAGCCCCCCGCTTTCCTGGCTCTTGCTGTGATCACAGTTTCATGACTTTGCATGGGAGGGTTCTTCTTGTTTGGCCTTTTACCCAGCCCTGTGGCAGCTTTGTGAAGAGGAGGAGGAGGAGGAGGAGGAGGAAACAATTAGTTGTTTGTCTGATCTTCCTGCTTGTGACAGCCAGCCAAGTAACTCCTACAGAATCAGTTAGGCACCAAAACTTTTCTCATGAGCAGAAGATTGTATAGTTCATGTGTGTTTTATCTCCAGGAGTGGAGAATGCATTAAAACCCCCCCATATTGTTATTGCTTGTCTGGTTTATGTTTTCACTGTAATGTTACTAGGTACATTTTTCAGTGATATAGGAATGCGTAGGGGATTGAACTAGTGTGTGTTAATCTAGTGTCCTAGTTCGACACTGGCAAGTATCAGCTGCTTTTGAGAAGAGTATCCATGGAGTAACTAACTCAAGTATGACATATTAAATCTTTCTTCAGGTTAGTTTCTGCCTTGAAACATGAATATTAGATTTCTGATTTTTTTTTTACAATTCTCCAGTTTACAGATACAACAAAAAATTATGCATATGAATACTTATCTCTAAACTTATGTCACAAAGATTATTTTTTTTAGCTGTACAAAACAAAAAGGTGTGTTTTCTGATCAGATGAGGCCATTAGAACATGTAACAGAATTTGTTTTGTATGGGAAAAGCTATCTGTATAATACTGACAAAAAGAGGTTTGGAGGGCATCTGTATGAATGCCTCTAAAATACCTCATTGTGTGAAGAACACTGAAAATAAAAACAATAGTGATAGTAGACCTTATTGAAAGGTAGATGGCATATGCCTGAAAGAAAATTTTTGTAGCACAGTTGAAATATTATCTCGCATATTGTCCTGCTTTTGTTACTGAATGAAATGTGCATGAAATTGTCCAAATACTGCTTAACACACACACCCCACCCACCCCACCTCCCCCCATTTAAAGTGTTTTTTGCAATTTTGTTGTGGTTTTTTTCTCTCTTGCTAGTGGTTGTGTATGACGCAGTGCATGACTAGCTATCTCAAGATCCTGACTGATTTAGCAGGCAAATTGAGTAGTAACATATAGGATAGGTAGAAGAATTCACTTTTTATAAATGAGTGTTAATAAACAGCATGGATTTTGGTTTTGGTTTTGCTTTTATCTCCTTTAGACTTGCAGTGGCTGTAATTGTTTCTGGTCAGGTCCTGTTTCTGAAATAACCAGTAGGCTGGTGTTGAAGGGAAGAGAGGAGGCTGAATCTGGCATGAGCTTCTATCAGGAAAACCTGTGGTTTCATGCCTTGTTTGCTGGTTATTTCAAGTTTGTGCCAGTTTTGAGATATATCAAAGAATGGACCTACTGTAACAAAAAGGGGGGTTTTGTTGTTGTTGAAGACATTGTTTTAAAACTTTGTGTGTCTAAATGCATGTCAGCGTTATAA